GAAAAACTAGAGTTCTGTTTCGTTTTCTTGTCTTGAACCGGTACCTCTTCTTCTTCCTTTTCACTGTTCTTTTTTCTCCGTCATTTGTTCCTTCGTTCTTTCTTTCTTTCTTACTTTCTTACTTTCTTTCTTTCTTTCTTTCTTTCTCTTGTCATCTGTCTCAGAGACAGCTAGCTTTCAATTAGTTGCCGTAACATGGAAGTTCCTTCTAACTTCCTTTGATGGTACCCAAGCCACCCCTCTCGGAAAAGTATAGGCAGTGGTTGTAAAAAGATCCAAATGAGCAAGGTTTGTTTTTTTTCATTGTGCAGCATCAACCACCTCAAGCAAATTCAAAGGGAGACCCAAACCCCATTGATGGTTTGAACGGGAGACATGATTTTTTATGGGACACCAAAGAACCGCAACGGCCGCGCAAACGAAATGGCGGCTCGAGGCTTTGAGACCTTGGCCGGGTTCAGCGCTGTGGCGTACCTCCCAGGGCCCCACAGCCCGGGCGCCCGGGCCGGAGTGAGAATCTGCGTCAAGGCTCCAATTCGATGCTTTTGGGCTCTGAAAATGCGTCTTTTTTTGGGCCCCTGAGTCCAGGGTCCCGGTTTCACACTTCGCGTGCAACCGGACAGGTTGCCAACTGAAGGTAGTCCGAAGATCCAAGGTATCGGCTTTGGGACAAGTGCCGATTGCTCACGTTCGTCCTGCTGTTTTGGGAACAAGATGTGGCACGTCCTTGCCAGAGACTTTTTGCTGCTGTTGGACGGCTCTTTGTCACAGCTGCACAGCTCGACGACGGCCAGCTAGGGAAACAAACGCTGACCCTTCGTCCTGGCCCAGGCGAAATGATATGACACCTTCGCTATTCCTGCATTGGCAGTGCCACGTGAAATGGACCTTTGCTTTAGTGCCGCTGGAAGGATTGGAAGGTCAGCGCCCTAAAACACGCATGGTTGTTCGCAGATATTGTTTGCCGGGCTCGCCGGAAACCGTTGATAGGCGCGAGGTGGCAGGGCAGCCGCTTCCCTTGCTAGGTCCCCCAGCTAGGTGCCCTGTCTCATCCCTTTTTTGGTTGGGAGGGGAAACCCCCTAATTACTAAAATAGACTACAGAAGAAAGGGCACCCTTATTCTAGCCTCTCTACTGGAGGACCTAGCTTGATTGTACTACACCTAAGCCGGGCGTTTTTGAGTTCGAAAAGGCAGACTGAACTCTGGGTTTGCTTTCCCCGCTTAACGGGTTTGAGTCCACCTGCAGGTTTCCCTAAACACCGCCCGTTCCACTTTTTGCGACCCTTCCATTCGCCCCAGAAGGGTTGACGAACACCCGGTCAAAGGTTTCCTTCGGCAGTGAGCGCTTGGGTCGTTGGAGCAAACCCAAGCTTCACCATTTGCCATAGGATTGCTTGCTTTTCCAGTTTTGGGAGAGGGTTTCCCTTCTGAAACAACTGACAAAATCTGGGCGCACTTTTGTCCCATGGGGGTCTGGGGTTTGTCATCTGGCAAGCGGGTAATTAGATGCCCAAGGAAGGCAAAAACCCATCAGCTTACTCAGGGCTCCTTAAAAGAAATTCATGTTGCAACCATTTGAAACATGTTGCCTTTTCCACCAAAATAAAGCAAACAACACCATTTACAAGTTGCAATGTTCGATCGGTGTTTTTCATGCATCCGGATCCCTGTTACTCCCTGGGTTCAAAAGAGCCTAGGCTGGGTTGTCTCTCAGTGGCGGGAGTTCTACAACATGGCGGCGGCCTTAGGGCTGACCCCACCTCAATGACCAAACCGCAAGAGAAGGTATGGCTGTGACATTTCAATACGGAACCACCTGAAAAGTGGGTGGTGGACATCAATTCGCACCTAATCCTGTCCACCATTTCGGGTCCCCACTGAAATCCAAGGTCCTGTTCCGAGCTCCAAAACTGCCTACCTTGGCCCACTTTTAGGGTCGTACCTTGCGAGACTTTTGAAATACATGTTCAATCGGAATGCGGATAGAGAAATCATTTGGATACGGGTTTGCCTCAAAATACGGGGGGACCCCTAAATTGGTTGTTTTCCTTTTGGTTTCCCTTTGAAACCAAGGCAAAAATGGCACCCTTAAAACCACTCCCATACGTCTACGTGGCCTCGGTCAGACTTTGGGTTTCCCATACCAACATGAGGGCCGTGGCCCATTTCTTTCAAGGGGTTGAGAGGTGTTCTCTTTATCTCCCTGTGGCAACCCAAGCGTTTCAAATCCAGGCTCCTTGGAGTGACTGCCAGCCAAACGCGGAGTCCCGGATCGGACTGTTGTCTTTTTGCTTTTGTGTCTCTCCCGCGGGTCTCCCGCGGTTCCTACCAAGAAAGACTTTCGAGTTTCGTTTTTTTTTTTCCCCCCGCAACTTGCTGGTTCCGGATGCCATCCGGTTCCAAAGTATTCAAAGGCTTTCATTTGGTTGAGTGGTTGGGTTTCCATATTTACCCTCACTTGTCAGTCAAGCTTTCAGGGATCTGAGGACAGACAGGTTGCAAGGGGTCAACAAATGACTGCGTAAGTTAGGTCCTTTGCAAGTGAGCGCCAGGTTTTCCGAGTGGCCTGACCGGAAACATATTTGCGTCATAGATCTGTTCCACTTTAATCAGTTGCCTTGCAATTGTGTAAGTTGGTTGATTTTGAGATGTCGGTTTTGTTTCCCCCGTAAAGCCAACCAAGCAAGGGCTGCAAAAGAAGTCACACCCCATATCCAAAGAGAACCTTCCAAACACCGTTTTCTGGCCTTTTCGGGGGTGTGGGGCAAGTGCCACAGTGCCACACCTCACCAAATTTCAGGGTGGATCGGGAATCGGGACCCAACACAAAATGTGCTGCGAGCCTATGACTTTGTCACAGCGGGGCTGAACAGCGGCCCTCCTGAATTGCACCAGCACATTTCATGTAAAACACACACTCCTTGTGAGAGGCTTCTTTTGATCAGCCAAACATAGTTGGGTATTTTCTTTTTAGGGGACGCCCCAAATAGGTGGTCTTCCTCTTGGTTTCCCTTTAAACCCAGAAAACAGGTGCCCTCAAACAATAAACACCCCCATTTGTATACGGTATGGTTTCAACTGGAGAGGCTGAGCCATTTTCCAGAATTCGTTCAGGGAAAAGGTAATCAACAAATCACGGCAAGGAAACCATCAGAGGAAAATCAGCAGGCAACTGGGCTTATGATTTTGGTTCTGTTTCTGGGGTCAAATCCAGAAAATGGTTGGGTTCTTTCCCTTTAACCCCCCCCTTAGAGGGGTGACTTTGATGGTAAAATAATGGGGCCAGGGCAACCATGAAAGCCCGCAATGCAAACCGAATTCACCAAACCACATTCAGCCAAGCAACGATTTTGGTACAGAGAACAAATGGGTGTGCGTCAAAATAGGGGGCTTGCATGTGTGTGGGAGAATAAGTTCACGGCTTTTGGATCATGTTGTTTCAGTTGTTTTAGTTGTTGTTTGGTTCTCTTCATTTTTCGTCGGGGGCTGCAATACACAAAGTGTCCTGCTACAACACCAAGGATTGCAAAGGGTAAACCCGTAAACCCCATTATTTTCAAACTGGACCCCACGTGATCCAAAGTTCGAACCGCTGAGGGCCTGCCCCTTCTGGTACCCCACCGGGAGGCGCTTGATGGGAAGCTGGGGGTGTCAGAACCAGGCCCAAACTGAGTGCAAAATTGAGTCCTGCTCCCGCATTTTTGCCCTGAAGAGTGAGTCTCACTTGCCCAAAGCGAATCGACCAGAGGGACCTTTTGATTTTGACTTCCCCTTTTTGGTGCTTTTTCAGGCATGGCCCCAAAAGGTCAACCTTCGTTTGAGTCCTTTGGGAAACTAAGGAGTCGAGACATGTTGCATTTTGGTGGCAAGTCTTGTGATTTTGACAACAAATAATACGTTGACCTAACTCCAGGCATGTGCAATTACTACTTCAATTTGCTTTTCATAATACTTTTCTCTCACAATGTTCCCCTGGTTGGCCAAACATGGGAAACTATCGCAACATATGTTGTCTCATTTTGTTCAGGAGCTGCAAATGCGAGGCTGCCACTGTATTGTTTCCCCCGTGGTTACTTGGGTGTGTGTCATTTTTTAGGGGACCCCGCAAGCCCCCCAACCCAAAAAAAATAATAAGAAGAAATAGTCGTGTGACTTTCCTTTTGGTTTTCCTTAGCCAACCAAAACGGGGTTCCCTCAAGAAGAGACACACCCACTTTGCTCAAAAGGGGAGATTCGCTCGTATCATTTCTACCATCCCATATTCCCCACAACCTTCGACCCCTAAGAGGTGCCAACTGGTGCCGGTCGGCGTGGATTTTGTCCATCCACAGCTCTGGCTGTAATTCTGTCAGGATGGACAAGGTCCTTCACCACCTAAGAAACCCTGGAATGATTCGATCCCTTTGTAGATACCACCAAACGTTATGGTTTCAACCATGGTTTCTTGGGGATTTCGCAACCATCCACAGTCCCCTGAGCGGATTAAAGGGTAAACCGAGTCCGTTCCCCGTAGAACGAGGCCCCTGAAGTGGGGCCCCCAAAGCCACTCGAAGCCTGGTCGCAGGACCTCATGAGCCACTCGCGCTACTGGTTCGAGCGGCTTTGGCATAATCTGCGGCTTGGCCGGGTGCCGATGAGTTTGGGGGCGTGGGAAACGCCGCATGCCCCGAGCGGTGGCTTCCTGGTGCGTGTTGCCCCCCTGTTTGTGCGGTGAAACCACCGATTTTCCTTTCGATTTGGTGGCTTGCCCGCTAAAACTGGACCCCCACAGCGTGTTAACCCGCCAGGGTCACTGAACTACTGGCCTCGTGCGGGGGGTTCCATTAGGTAGACACGGACAGGTGTCACCAAAAGGGGGTCCCCCCAAAAAAGATGTCACGTTCAGGGCTCTTCGACCCCCTAAAAGGCTTGGAACTTTCAAGACGCCTGGGAAGGTTTCTTGGGATTTTTTTCCGGTGTGGGCGGGCGGGCGGCCTTTAGCATGAGGAAGCCAAAGGACGGTTTGGGCGTTTGGCTTTGAGCTACGGCAACTCGAAAGTGCCTCTGTTGTGTTCAACAGTGGGACATGGACCTCCTTGACTTTGCAAGGAACCCTCCCAAACATGGAAGCGCCCGCTCCCAGAAAAACATCGTGTTGCAAGGAGCCTGTGCGCTTCCATGTTTGTTGGGAGGGTACCTTGTGGTACACCAAAAGAAGACCAAGCAGCTTGGGGCACACGGCTGTCATAGGACACCGTTTTGGTTGTCTGGTAGAAACCAGATGGCGATTCTTTGCTTCAGACTACATTCCCTAATACACCCATTGCCAAACCGAAGGCTCTCTTTTTACATTTTGCTTCACTTCCTTTTTACATGTTGCCTCATGAAGGTGTTCTTCATTTCCAACAAACAAGCAAACAAACAAAGCAACAAACCAACCAACCAATAAACAAACTCACTAACCATTGTTTAACGTCTCCTTTCGATTTCCTTTGCCTTTTTGGTTTTTGACTTACCTTCAACCAGCAAACAGTTGACTTTGGTCTAAGTCTGGCCTAGGCAGCTTTTTGCCAACGAATGCGCTCGTTTGATTCGTTTTTTTTAGGATGAGCCACACAATTGGTGGGTTTGAAACTCCTTTGAGAACCTCATTTTTTTTTTTTTAAAGGTACCCGCAAAGAATGAGAGACTCAAATGGATTTCGGACCCCCTCTTGAACGCAAGTTTATGAATGCATCGCTGGAGTTGGTGCCTTTTGGATGTTTCTGTGGCTCTTGATGGCAAGTCTATTTCCTGTTGGTCTCCTTTAACCAACCAAAGGGGGTCCGCCACTATAGTGGATCACCATTCAAAATTGTCCTCTTGGTTTTGAAAGCATGGCAAGCGCCTGGTGACCACCAGGGATCCCATGCAAGCCAGTCCAAACCCTTCGCCATTTTCCATTTGGTTAAGGGTGGTTCCCGTTGTCTACTTTGGTATATGGCATCACTGGGTTCACCAATCGGGGTCCGAGATACGCAAGGAGAACCCCCCCCCCCCCCCAAACCTCGGTTATTGTTGGGAAACACTTTGCATTTTTGCTCGTTGTGGTTTAGTGAGAAACCCCCACTTAACTGCTAAAATATAATTTGATTCCCCCCTTTCAACGTCAACCAAGAAGCACTTTCACACGAGGCAGCACGTGCCAGAGGAGAAGTGGATGCCTTCGAGGGCGCACTGGGCGAAGCGCCATCCCTTCTCTCCCTGGATGCCGTTGAAGACATGGAGTTCCCAGTACGCCGGACACCCAGGCTGCATGGGTTCGCGTTTTTGGAGGGTCGCCGTGGGCTGTTTGAGACGGCCGCCCTGGACAGTCTGATCTGCCCAAAGCGAATCGTCCTGAAATCAGCTTCAGGTTTACCTGTTTTGGTCCAGTTTTTGGTCGGTGGTTGCAAGAGCTTTTTCTAGGTTTGTTCTTGAGGGTAGCCGTTTTGTGCCGTTTTGTTAGGCTGGAAAGGGAAGCAGCGGAGTCAACATCTATTTGGTTTTCAGCATAAGGCTCGGAATCCTCATATGGAACACGTTCACAAGGAATTCTCATGTAAATCGTGTCCCACAAACGTCGGTTGAGATTCATGCCCAAGCTTTGCAAGCATTTCTTCACCCTATAATGAACCGGGGAGGGGCTAGGTTCATCTTGCCAGCCTCTTTGACACCCATGCCCGGGTAGAAGTCCGCCAGGATAAATAGGGGACCATTCAATCCGATTCTCGTACGTCAGAGAAGCCAAGTAGGGAAAGCTTTTTGCCTGGTAGAGTTACTGGTAGATCGAACAACCCCCTCTCCAAAATCTCGGATCTCTCTCCGATGATCTCTGGAAGGTCAGTGGCCATGGGTGCCAACATCCAAACGTGATTCTGTTGTACCATGTTGATCGTGTTGCAGTTGAAAGCCATGGCCGCGTGAATTCCTGATTTGGCTTGCGACCGATATCACCCATGTTTTTTGTTGTTGTTTTTCCCTTCTTGTCCTGCGGTTCATTTGGGCGTGCTTTTTTGGGGGAACCTCGTTTGGCGGGTTTGTTTAAGGGAAACCAGAAAGAAACCAGCAAACCCGCTTGACTGCTGTTGGCATGTTTTTCTACCATACCAAGATTGGAAAGCACATTTCTTATTTCAGGTTGGTGAATAGTGAGAAAGTTTGATGGGATAAACTTCAAGGAACCACTTTCCAAATGGCTCAGACTCGTACTCGGGGCCCTTAGGAGGATCCCCTTGTTGGGAGCACTCGACCGGAAGGTTGAAAGCACATGACGGCTCGTTGTTTTGGTTGGCCCAGAAAACGTCTCTGCGAGTCAACCGAAGTGCCCATTTTCATATTTGAGATGGAGTCCCCCCTCCCAAGTCTATCATTCCTAGAGGCACCTGCGCCTTTTTTTTAACTTCCATGTCGCTTTGCAGAAAAACTCGACTAAACCGCGGTCCGTCCGCCATGTTGAAAAGGGGAATGAGTTGCATGCTTCAGACCTGCGTTCATTTATTAAGAGAAACGTAGCCCTCGGGTTTTTTGATAGAATCCACCAAGAAACCAAATTGGGCAGCTTCAACTCCATTTGAGCCACAATCAAAACCCTTTGGTAGATGAAGGTGCGGCCGCCTTCTTATTTCTTTACATGGTTCTGGGTAGACCACTTTAATACCGGGTTCTGATTGTGACTCATTTGGCCACCTGTCTCTCCGATTGCCTCGGGCACGGCTCGCGACTCGATCGCCTGCGCCGAGGCGCAGGCGACAATGTACTGGTCTCAGTTTCTGGAGTTCTTCACTTGGCCGCACGTGCGGCAGCTCAGAGCTCACAGCCAGTCTAGTCTTTCTTGAAGGTACCCGATTTTTAGTTGTTTCAAAGGGACACCTAATGGATAGCCTCTTGTTTTTTTTGTGTTTTTTTCGTTTATTTTTTTTTTTTGGGGGGGGGGTTCCCTAAAAAAAGACACACTTATGTGTCCGTTTGACAGGCCAAAGACTTCACCGGCTTCGCCGACTTCGACTTGTTGCCAATGTGTGGTGTTCCTTGAGGCCCTGAGTCAACACTTTCCAGGTCCAAGTCGGCCGGCAGAATAAAGGGAACCCATTTAATTTTGTTGAGGGGTTTCCTAGTTTGAGACTTTGATCGGCCCGTGCCAAGAATTGACCCCAAGACAATCTTACACCAAAGACAAGGGTTTGGTGTTCGTGTCCTCCGATTAGTGTGTGTTTGATGCTCAGTGGCAGAAGATCGCAAGTCTCACGCGCCTCGTCCGGATTCCCCGGCAGTCACCAGCGCTTTCTCAAGATGTGGAACCCCATTTTGCTTGGTGCCGACGGTTACCCTCCCTTCCAACATGGAACTTGACAAGCTCAGTCAAGAGGAAAGTGTTTGTTCCTGGACCTGTTTTTCCTGGCAGCGCGGAGGGATCTCTCTGGGATGGCATTAGGCACGCTCACTAAATCTCCACTTAAACATGAGGCGACTTAGCAACATCCAATATTGTCTCAGAGACCAGTCAATATTGACCCCGGCTCAAATAAGGCCAACTACGGTTGGTTGGCTTCTTGTAGCTTTATAACCAATGCCCCCTTGTCTAACGTCCGCTTGTACAAGGGCGGTCCTCAACATAGGCAAAAAGTATCTTTACGGATGGCTTTAAGGGAAAACTGGAGAAACCTACAGTTATCATCGACCAGTGCTCGGGCTGCACAATTCTTGGAGACAACCAGATGTGCTGCTTCATACCAGGGGGGGGGTCCTCATTTTGTAAGGAACACATTGAACCCCTGCATTTCACAATAACCTGCTGGATGGTTTACGTTATACTTAGAGCCCCTCAACCGCACAGCACTGGCCATGGTGTTAGACACAAGGATTGGGCCCCGGAAAATCACAGACCAATTGGCAGAGCATGATGTAGCGAGCAGAGCGCTTTACTGTTGCTCCATGAGGGTTTTGGGAATGAACCGGAAGGGGATTCTCTTACTGGGAGGGGGAGGGGGCGATGGGGGAGGGGGGAGGGGGAGGCTACACATGGGTGGTTTATGTGGGTCTCAGCTCAATCCCTGAGAACCCGCAGTTGATCGAATAGCCATTCAGCCGTTCAGCTGCCAAGTTGGGGGCTGATCGATGAGACCCGAAGGTGTTGCAGCCGACAACGCAGCCAGCAACCTGTTGGTGATGACTTGCTTGGGGATGTCCAGTCCAGTACTGATGTGGGTGTCACCCAATGCCATTCTCAGTCTGGCCAGAGAGGAGTCATGTATCTTTTATGCGCTGCTGTTGTATGCCCGCAAGTATTGGAGGAAGGCCATGGATCGCAAAACGTCCAGCTCAGAAACTGGGATGCCAGTGCAGTTTTGCCGCATGACATCTCCAAACCAGCCAAGCTCAGAGCTTGGGGCATCTTGGGCGGTGGGAATGGGACCTGAATGTAGAAGCCCTGGAGGGAGCAACCCCTTTGAGTGGTGATTCCTTTTCACCTTTCGAGGGGCGTTTCGCACCTTTTTTATTACTTCGAGTTCTGCTTGGATCCGATGGGTCACTCACCACGGCGTTGAAGGCCCGAGAGAGCCAAGCTCCATGAAGCTCCGAACACAGCATTTCCTTGGAAGTGACAGCACATAGTTCCAAAAAAGACTACGCTACTCAGGAAAACAGTGCCCCCTTTGCCAGCGCTTTCCATTGATCCCCGGATCCAAGTAGAACCCCGTTGATTTTGATCGTGGGGAGCAACTCATTGTTACATGTTTCGTAAGGGCAAGGCCTTTGCCCTGGTGAACCCACAAAGGTTGACCCATCCTCGCTCGATTCGGACATTCGGTGCCACGTCTTGACGCTCCATTCTCTTATAAGTTTTGATTGGTGAGATATGAATGTGAACGGATATGTTTTGGACGAATTCAGATTAATCTTATTTCAGATTGGCCCAACTGGATTTAACTAGACAGACCCTCACAAATCACTCAAGCATGTTTTTTCTGCCCCAAAATGATGGGCCGTTTTTGCGTTTC